TAGAATGGCCGGAATAATACGCTAGAGACAGAGAATGGTCAAAGGGAAAGCCGAGGTCAAGGAAGCCAGAAAATACACAATACCGTTTACACAAGCCAAGTCAGGGAAACCAGAATTCAGAATAACCAGGGAAAAGCCAAGATCAGGATACCAGGAAATCAGATTCACAATGATAAAGCACTCTCAGGAAACCAGGAACAGGAAACCACGACAGGGCAAGGTATTGGGGTGAGCTAGGGATTTAAATATCACGCGGCGGGCCGGCAGCCGCGACACCCTGTTACGTCCCCCTCATCAGGCCTTTTTTAGTCGAATGTATCGCCCACTGTCAGTCCCTTCGGGATCCATCCCTCATTCATCTTAATAAAGGTGAGGTAATCTACACTTTTTTGACATAGGCGACTTCTCTTCTCAGTGACAATACCTCTCTGCACTGAAGGTCCTCTCTGACAGGACACTTGAAGCGGGGCAGGCCAGAAGTTCTATCGCAAATTGGGATAGCTCAGGCCACAGGTCAAGCCTGCACACCCAGTAGTCAAGGGGTTTATCACTCCTCAGAGTGTCGATATCTGCAATTAAGGTGAGGTAGTCTGCTACCTGTCGGTCGAGTCGTTCTCTGAGGGTGGACCCCGAAGGGCTGTGGTGATGCGTAGGACTTGAAAAGCTGAATGTCCTCCATCAACAACACGTCTGTAAAGCGTCCTGTCCTTGCCGGCGTGGGAGGAGGAGGATTACTTTCACCTCTTTCCCTGTTAGATTCCCATTGTACTGTGACATCACCCTTATACGCTGTGTAAAGCATACTTTTTAATTGATTTTGGAACTGCTGCATCCTTTCCGACTTTCCGTAATTCGGTAACATTTCAGGCAAGTCAACCCCAAGATGGCATGACACTGCCGTATCCGGGATGTGGAATAGTACCTGGGGAGCTGGGGGGGTGCCGTTGATGTGGAGCAAGACGCAGCAGCAGAAGAGGAGGTTATGGAAGAGGATGGAGTAGGAGGAGTAGAGGAGGTGGCAGCAGGCCTGCCTGCAAGTCGTGGCGGTGTCACCAACTCCTCTGTAGAGCCACGCATTCCATGCTTAGCAGCCATCAGCAGGTTTATCCAATGTGCAGTGTATGTGATATACCTGCCCTGACCATGCATCAGTGGTCAGATGGACCCTTGCCCCAACACTGTGTTCCAGACATGCCATTACTTCCTTTTGCATAATCAAGTACAGGTTGGGGATTGCCTTTTGTGCAAAGAAATTTCGGCTGGGTACCTTCCACTGCAGTGTCCCAATAGCTACAAATTTTTTGAACGCCTCAGACTCCACCAGCTTGTATGGTAAAAGCTGGCGGGCTAAGAGTTCAGTCAAGCCAGCTGTCAGACGCCGGGCAAGGGGGTGACTTTATGACATTGGCTTCTTACATTCAAACATGTCCTTGACAGACACCTGACTGTGGGCAGATGAGCAGGAACTGCTCAAGGCGAGAGACGGAGGGGCGGATGGTTGAGAGGGGGCAAGGAGGACAGCAGTGGTTAACGTGGCTGAAGATGCTGGACCAGGAGGAGGATGGCGGCTTTGAGTTTGTGTGCTGCTTGTACTCATGTGTTGATCCCATAGGCGTTTGTGATGTGCGATCATGTGCCTTCACAAAGCAGTTGCACCTAGGTGGGTGTTGGACACTGCCACACTGCTAAGCTCTGCAATGACCGCATTCTGATGGTGGCAACAGCATGCGTTGATTGGCGTGCTGTTTGGCTGACCCCGGGTGCCGATGCATGCTGTCTGACTGTGCCACTAGCTCCTTGCGACGACCTCCCCCTGCTTCCAACTCGTCTCCTCCTCCTCCTCTCTGTCTCCCATCTGAACTTTCCCCCTGTTCTTCTTCTCTTCTAGCAGGCACCCACATGACATCCACGGACGCATCGTCATCATCAACCGCTTCACTTGTATCTGACAACTCAGCAAAGGAAGCAGCAGCGGGTACAACATCATCATCATCACACCGTACGTCCATGTGTGTAATGCTGCCTGACTGAGACATATCCCTGTTATCTACATCCTCTGGCAATAATGGTTGCGCATCACTCATTTCTTCCAACTGATGTGTAAATAACTCCTCTGACATACCAAGTGAAGCTGCTGTGGTGCTAGTGTTGGTGGTGGCGGCAGGCGGGCGAGTGGTAACTTGAGAGGTGCCCGAAGCTAAGCTGGAGGAGGATGGTGCGTCAAGGTTCCGAGCGGAAGCTGTAGAAGATTGGGTGTCCTGTGTTAGCCAGTCAACTATGTCCTCAGAACTTTTCGAGTTCAGGGTACGTGGCCTCTGAACACTGGGCATTATTCTAGGGCCAAAGGGAATCACAGCACCACGACCACGACGGCCCCTGCGGGGTGGCCTGCCTCTGCCTGTCATTTTTTTTTCGATTAGTGGTACTATGCGTGCAAGCTACTGTGACAACAGATATGAGTGGCACTGTGCAGTGGCAGAAGTTGGCAGAGTAGATGCTGTAGGCCTGACACACACGCTTGCAGACAACTGCTATTCAATCTATTACAGTCAAAATTTTATTTTTTTTTAAATGTACACTACTGTTACACCAGATATGAGTTGCACTGGTGTGACACTGTGCCCTGGCAGGCCCTGAAACGCACACGTGTGAAGGAAACTGACTGCTATTATATTACAGTCAAAAAAGTTTTGTTGAGCAGAAGGAGTGAGTGTTCGGGGTTAAGAAGGTGGATTGTGCTCATTACAGGTAGTGTTTGCAGCTGCTATCTGGAATTATCTAAAGTTGTGTGTGGGAATCTGTCTATAAATGTAGTAAGGAACGTTGGGTGGGAATCTGAGCACTGTTCAGGTTTGCTAGAAGTGGTCTTTTAAAACTCAGACTGTGGAAGACAGATGATCAAAAACAGGAGTGCAATAAAAGCTATGGAATGGAGATGCACAGAGGAGGTGAGGATTGGTCAAGCAAGACGTTCGAGTGGGTATCAAAATAAGGGGGGGGGGAGAAGAAATAACAGAAAGTCTTTAGAGATGAGCAGGATGTTGAATAACATTTAAGTTAAAACCAATGATGAGCAGGGCAGGGAGCAACTAGCTTTAGCATGCAGGACAAGACAAACTGCAGAATATATGTGTGTATGAGCAAACACACACTAAAGAGCAAGCACGTCCAGTTAAGATACAATGCCAAAGAAATGGTGGTTAGAGATATATAGTTTAAAAATATCAAGTGGTTAAAATTCAATACAATTATAGTGTCCAGTATTAAGGGTAGATAGTTTCCTCCATAGTCTACCTTGCAGAAACTCAGACATGCATAATGCCTTTTCCTTCAATCTGTAAGAATTAGGGAGTTATCTACCAAAAGGCTGAAAGACCTAAATTGGTCTTCAGCCAAATTTACTAATACTAAGTAGAAATTACTTAGTATTAGTAAATTTTGCACCTACTCGCTATACCGTGAGCATGTCTATTAAACAGTGAGTAGCCTGTGGCTGCTCAGTGTTTAAAAATAAATAAATAAATAAATAAAATGATGGGGGGTGGAGGGGGTGGCCCCCACCCCTGAACTGTGGGTGGGGCCCTAAATTGTAATAAGTGAGGGGGACCTAATGTCCTCCCCCCTGAGCGGTGGGTGAGGGCCCTAAATTATAATAAGGTGGGGGGAACCTAATGTCCTCCCCTCTGGCCCCCACCCCTGAACGGTGGGTGGGGGCCCTAAATACTAATAAGGAGGGGGACCTAATGTCCTCCCCCTGGCCCCCACCCCTTAGCAGTGGGTGGGGGCCCTAAAAAAATGCCCCCCCCAGGTGACTAGGGGTCCCCAAACCCCTAGTCACCCCCTCCACCCCAAGAAAAAAAAATCACCCTACCTACCTCCCTCACCCTAAAAATAATGAGGGGGGACCTTTAACTAAGTACCTGTAAAAAAAAATAAAAAAAAATCCATCTTCATCCAACGAAAGCTCCGCGCAGACTGAGCTCTGTAGGGTGGGGGGGGAGGCTTATAAAGCCTTGCCCCCGCATTTAGGCTCAGAGCACTCTGATTGGTGGGTTTAAGCCATCCAATCAGAGTGCTCTGACAGGTAAATGAAGAGACTGATGGGTACGTCTCTGCATTTACCTGTCACAGCACTCTGATTGGTTGGCTTGAAATCCACCAGAGTGCTCGGTGTCATTTTACAAAGCGTGGGAAAGTTCTTGACAAAGCGTGGGAAAGTAATTTGACTCATAACACTCTGAATGGTTACTTTAATCCACCCCTGAGTGGTGGGTGGGTGCCCTAAATTATAATAAGGGGGGACCCAATGTTCTCCCCCCTAGCCCCCACCCCTGAGTGGTGGCCCTACAGTAAAATAAGGGGGGGAACCTAATGTCCTCCCCCCTGGCCCCACCCCTGAGCAGTGGCCCTACAGTAAAATAAGGGGGGGGAACCTAATGTCCTCCCCCCTGGCCCGCACCCCTGAGCGGTGGGTGGGGGCCCTAAATACTAATAAGGGGAGGAACCTAATGTCCTCCCCCCTGGCCCCCACCACTGAGCGTCGGGTGGTGGCCCTAAATACTAATAAGGGCTCAATGTTTAATAGACATGTCCCTACTCACGGATTAGCGAGTAGGGGCATAATTTACGAATACTAAGTAATCTTTACTTAGTATTAGTAAATTTGGCTGAAAGACCAATTCAGGTCTTTTAGCCTTTTAGTAGATAGCTCTCTAATACCGTGGGAATTAGGTAGTTATCTACTTATTCATTCCTGTCATTACATTGACAGACTAAGTAATTTACATTTTATATGAATGTGTTTTACTTGATTGTTGTAAGTGTTGCAAATGCTTACAGCTGAATCCTGGCTACGTTTGTACTTTTACTTTTTTTTTTTAAATTGTATACAATGTAACATTCTCCTTCTTTCACTGGTTAAGTATATTAGTACTTAGGCAATACTGTACTTCGGAACCTCGGGAATTTGGCACTTCAGCAATTCGGAAGTACCTGAATTGCCCGAAATTTGTCAGAATTCATATTCGGACTAAAACGAATTGCACATGTCTATTTTCCTTTTCAGGTGGGAAAGAGATGGCAGCAGTATGTACTATGGGAAAAAATAAGGCTGGTGGAGGCAGTATTTTACTCTGGGAAATGTTCTTATGGGAAACCTTGGCATTCATGTGGATGTTACTTTGACATGTACCATCTACCTAGAGATTGTTGCAGACCACATACGCAGTGATGTTCCCTGATGGCGGTGGTCTCTTTCAGAAATGATATATACAAGCCTACATACACATATAACATATAGAATGAGCACACACAGACTCAGATGATGTAACTATATATGCAGATATAATAATAATCTTGCTGTTTGCATTTTTTTTCAATTATTATAATTATTATTCTTGCATTATTTTTCATTAGTCTGGCTTTAAAAGTTTCTCTTTTTGGGGCATTTCTGATATCCACTTTGAGCACTTTCATTTGTAAGTCCTTGCTTGAGTAGTCAGGATGGGTAAAATGTCCCAGGGGAGTGCAGTAAGATTCTAATGTAGTGTTGGTGCGTACTAATTCAGCCAAGAAGCTACAACTGGATCTGGAATCACTTATACATACATATATACATTCTTAGTCTGTCATTTTTTTTTAACTCTCCCTGATCTGATATGATCTCCTGTCCTGCTTGTTTATATTTTTCTCTCCTCTCTGATCCCTCATGACAGAGACACAGAGAGACACAGAGAGACCCTCTTTCCTAACACTTAATAAAAAGGGTAAAGGTAATGGTATAGGGGTGGGTGATAGGAAGTATGGTAGCCATTAGCAATTGAAAAAGGATTTTATTTTACTTGACTGAGCACACTCTGACCCCTATCAAGTAAATATTAAGGCCCCAGCATGTACTATATTAACGTGTTAATTCACTGTCAAGTTCAACTTTTATTAGATTAAAATGACGGCACAGGCACTGGGTTAAATTTTAAGAGTGATAATTTTTATTGAAATTTGCACTATTTGTAAAATAAAAATAAATAATAAAAAAAAAAAAACACTCCACACAAAAAGCACTCCAGTTGGTGTATCCCACACACTTTTAAAATTTCCCCCAGCCTAAAGTCCTTTAAGAGATCCATGTCTACATCTCAAACCACTCCACGTGTTTACAATGCAAAAATGTAAAAAGTAAATTGTGTGCAAAAAGCAAATTCTATTTCATCACTTCACTTTTTAACATGAAAGTTAGATTATGTCTAATTAAATTAACATCAATAATGCCATTTAGTGGGACAGAGGTGGCATTCTTCTCCCATAACCCACCACTCACTGTATATGGAATATATCCCATCATACTATTGCAGAGTCAGACGAGGTCATGACAGGGTGATAGAGAATAAACCAGGTCAGGGGTAGGCAACCTTTGGCACTCACGATGTGCGACAAGACCTTCTATAATGTTCTTTTCCTTATGTAGGCAAAGCATCAGGTGAGATATAGTCCACACTATTTGGAGTGCTACCCCAGCTCTAGTTTGATACTAGAATGGTTAAAAAAAAAAAAATCTCCCCCGATGGGAAGTTCATTAAATAAGCCACCATGTTTTGTTTTTGCACATAGCTTCCATGATAATTTCAGTAATCACCTCTTTCTATAGCCTATGGAATTTGGAAAGGAACAGGTGCTCAAAGAACGCTTTCGTGTGATTTTAGGGGGAGAGCTATCTCTAGAAGTTACAAGGTTGTCATCTCATCTAGAGGGTAAAAACATCATGTGCGAGATTATCTATGTGCTAAAATATTTCCATTACAGCAAGATCACATTGTTTACTTGTAGATAATACTGCTAGTTTCAGTATCTGATACAATATTACTGATACATATTGTACGAATGACATTTCATAATCTGGAATTATCAAACAAATTAAACGTATACTACAGAAAGTGACAATATTGTTCCTTCTGAAAAAAAATATATAATTTTTGACCTTCAAAACAAGCTATTTTGCTTTTGTTGCATATTTGCAAGAGATTGTGCTGCAAAAACTATTTAAAAACAATTTTCTGATCAATTTTGCTTGTTATATTTGAACTCACATGCTCATTAGAATTCTAATTATGAAACATAAAACAAACCTTCCATTGCAAAGCGGTTTATGTTCTGTTGAACAAGCACAGTCCTTATTAAGTATGTACACAAATTACAGGACACGCATGTACATGTACAAAACCCTGTGTATGGGGCTATCTTTAAGGCGGGGCAGCTGCCCCAGTACCAGTTACTCCTGGGGGGGGCCCAAAGCAGCTGCCGCATGGCCACGCTGCCCATAGCCTGCATATTAAAAAAAAACAAAAAACCCTCCAAAAATCTCCCACCCATTGGCCTGCAGAGCTGGTATTGCGGCTGCACCGGGGCCCATACTTTTAGGGGGCTCACCGGGTAGGGGCCCGGCCGGGTGCTATGGCCCTTTAACAGCACGACTGGGCCCCTTGCTTAACGGCAGCCTGAGAGGAAGTGACGTTCCTGAGTCACTTCCTCCCTCAGAGATGACGAGTCGCGAGGGAGGCTGAGTCAGGAGGAGTAAGGACCACTGGGGGAGGGGGGGACTGTGCAAAGAGAGCCAGTCCTCAACTCCCAACCACCCAAGCCAGCACATTGGACACCAGGGAAGGTAGGAAACTAGAGGGGGGCTTTAAAGTCTAAATTTTGAATATGCGTGTATATGCCCGTATGTCTGTGTGTGTGCCAGTATGTCTGTCAGTAGGTCTGTGTGTCTGTCTGTGAATATATGTCAGTATGTATAAGTATGTGTTTGTGTGTGTGTCAGCATGTCTATCAATGAATGTGTCTATGTCCATATGTCAGTATGTATGTGTCAGTTTGTCTGTCTCTATATGTGTCTCTATATCTGTGTGTTTCTGCATGAAGTCGGTGTGTGTATCTGTGTGTCTGTATGTGTGTCAATGTGTATCTGTATGCTGTCTTTGTGTGTTTCGGTGTATCTGCATGTGTGCCAGTGTGTGTATATATGTGTCTGTGTATCTACATGTGTGCCAGTGTGTATATATGTGTGTCTGCATGTGTTTCAGTGTATATATATTTATCTATGTGTGTGTGTGTGTATTTGTGCATACATATCAGCATTCACACACTAACACTACATACAAATACACCCCTGCATTCAAACTCCAACACTACATACAAACACATCTGTGTTACACATCAAAATTATATGTAAACACACCCCTGCATTCAAAATTCAACACTAGACATAAATACATGCTTGCAAGTATGCCAACACCACCTACAAACGTATTCCATACAAAAACATGTTTACATTCAAACACACAAAACAGCTTAGTGCTAAATACAAACATGGGTAAATGGTAGAGCTCTAGCTGTCAATGCATTGCTGGAGTTGCACAACAGATGGGGATCTACCTTTTAATCACCCATGCAATAGAGAGGCCCCCCAAAAATTCTTTAACCTCTCTACTTTAGGTTGGCCACTGTGTTGGGGTGGTGGACTTGATTGCACGCCTGGGTAGGGGGGACAATCAATATTAAATACATTCCTGTCTGTATAGAATGTGTATAATGAGAATGAAGCATGGATATTGACAAAGATACTTACTAAAGTAAGAATTCAAAGTAAATTTTAAACAGAGTAGCTGAAAACTGAAACTGAAAGCATTGGCTTTTTAGAATATATTTTTTTCAGTTTGACATTGAATATGAAAATCACTTTGAATTCTCATTTTAGTGAAGAACCCTGTAACCAGGGCCGGCGCTACCTGTAAGGCGACCTAGGCAGCTGCCTAGGGCGCACCTTAGCAGGGGGCGTCAGATCCCTGCACCTGGAATCACCAGTGCGACTCCAACATGCTGCGCCGCCTGAGCGCTTTTACAAGCCTCAGGCGGCACAGCACTGCTGTGGAGGCCGGCGATTTGAAAGCGGATGGGGGTCGTGGCCGAGCGGGACAGGAACCTCTCCAGCCCCCCCGGCCACCCATGAACTGACACCAGTGAGCACTGGGGGAGAAGGGAGGGGGACTAAGGACCACTGGGGAGGAGGAGGGGGACTAAGATCCACTGGGGAGGGGAGGACTAGGACCCACTGGGGAGGGAGGAGGACCACAGGAGGACCACCGGGGAGGGGTGACCAAGGACTGGAAAGGGTCCACTGGGGGAGGAGGGGGGACACTAAGGACCAGTGAGGGAGGAGGGGGAGGAGTAAGGACCTCTGAGGGAGGAGGGGGTTTGCCAGAGGGAGGACCACCAAAGGGGGGGGGGAGGGAGGACCACTAAGAGGGAGAGAGGGGAGTGAGAAGACCACCAAGGGGGGACTGCAGAGGGACAGGGGCCAAGGGAGAGCACTAAGGGACAGAAAGGGAGAACACTAAGGGACAGAAAGGGAGAACACTAATTGACAGGAGGGGTGAGCACTATGAATTTTTTTAAACAAAATAAAGAGCTGCTCCCCTCTCAGTCCCTATCCTACCCCACAAACACTCTCTTTTACACTACACACATACACAATTCACCCCCCACACAAACACACACACACACACAGAAACATACAATGCATCCTTACTCACACACAGACACACCCGAAACACACAATGCATCCCTTATGCATTGTGATGTCACATGGTGGGCAGGACATATGGGGGGCGGCAAATTTTTTTTTGCCTAGGGCGGCAAAAATCCTTGCACCGGCCGTGCCTGTAACTGTAACTAACCTAAACACCTCTGAAAGCCATACTCCCACCTCTAGTACTCGCCTTCAAGAATTCTCCAGGTCTGCAACTTTTCTGTTTAACTCCCTACCCTTCTCTGTTAAACTTTCACCCAGTCTCCACTCCTTCTAAAAATTATTGAAAACTTCTTCAAGGAAGCGTATGAATTAAACTGCTAGCAGGTTTTCATCCCCCACAAGACTCTCCTGCAACGGTCAAAACTACCTGCTAAGCCCTCAGTGAATACTAGCAACCTACTTTTACCTTTTGTGTCATTTTACCCCAATCCCTCTAGCATGTAAGCTCATTGAGTAGGACTCAAACCCTCTCTGTTCCTGTGCGTCCTTTTGTCTAGTTACAATTACATGTCTGTTAGTCCACCCATTGTACAGCACTACGAAATGTGCTGGCACAATAATAATAATAATAATAATAATAATAATAATAATAATAATAATAATAATATCTCTAGAACACAGGCCATATTTGCA